TCCCTGCTCCTCCTCTTTCCCCGTCGAACTACCCCCGACTCACTGTGAAGCCCCAATTCAGCCTACACCCCACACACGCCCTCGTCTCCTCTCCTGCGCTCCCGCCTCTCCGAGTTTTTAGTCTCTTTCCGACCTTTCCCGGCCGGCTGTGGCAGCGATGTGGAGGGGTCCTCGTGACGGGTTAAGGGCTTTCATTTAGCCGCGTCTGAGCCGCGAGAGAGGTCTGCGCACACTAGCTTTCTCTGGCTTAGGGGCAGTCTCTAACGACCTTGCCCAGCATTAGATGCGCCGATGCCAACAGTTCTTCGGCGGGGCATGCGGTTATTTATGGAGGAAAGCGGTAATTTGAAAAGGGCAGGTGGGAGACGCGAGTAGTTGCTTCCGGTTTGGCTGGACATGTTCGTGCGCGTTGTGGCGCAGGACCGTTCAGAATTGCTTTTCTTCGTTCCGCGTATCCTTTTGCTTGGAGGTGCCTGGTTCTCGGGTTTTTGATGTCGGATATTTTACTCTCTTGCCTTCCGCGTTCCTACTCGTACATTTTCCTCTCTCGTTTCTGTTTCATCGCGGCGCGGTCTTTTCCTCCGTCCACCACCATCTTTCCTCTTTCGTTTTCGTCATTTCGCGTCCTCCTCTCACCCATTCTTTCTTCGTCGGTCATTTTGTCGTCCGTTTCCACCACTTCTCTCCTTTCGTCGTCCTCGGTCGTCCTTTCCTCTTCGCCATCCTCCTTCCTTTGTTCGGTTCATTCGTGGTTTTCTTTCCATCCACCATTTTCTGCTCCTCGTTCGTTTTCGTTTCGGCGTTTTTTCTTCCTCCTCCGCATCCTCTCTCGTTCGTTTCTTCGTCGTTCTTTCCACATATCCTTTCTCCTCCGTTTTTTTTTCGTCTTTTTCGTGTCTTGTTCTCCTCTACACCTCTTTCCTCCTCGTCGTTTTTTCTGTGTCTCTCTTCACACCATTCCTCCTCCTCTCCGTCTGTCGTTTCCTTTTTCTCTCGTCCCTCCCTTTCTGTCTGCTACACCTCCTTCCTCCTTTCGTTCGTTTCGTCGCTCCTTTTCACCTTTCTTCGTGTCAATCGTTTTCGTCTTTTCCTTACCATCTCTGCTCGTCGTTCTCGTTGTCTCTTCACCACCATCCTCTCCTCCGTGTCGTCATCGTTCGTCTTCTCCTCCTCACCATCGTCCTTCATCCTCTCCTCGTCATCGTCGTTCTCCTGCTTCCTCCGTTATCTGCTCTTCTCGTCGTCGTCGTCTCTCTCCTCCTTTATTCTCTCCTGCCTCCTCGTTCATCGCCTCTTTCCTTCCACACTATGCCACTCTCTCGTCGAGAACTTTTCGCCATACCTCATTCTCTTTCCTCCCATTTTCTCCTTCGTTTCGTCCGCGTCTCTCCTTTTCTCACTCTCTTGGTTTCGGGCGCTGAAGCTATGCCGCGCATTGGGTGGACGCTTTGTTACGACGGCGAACAACACTGTTTGTCTAATAGTAGCGTACGAGCTTGAGTTAGTTATTTCTTTGGAAGGACGTAGCGCATTCTGTGCGGATGGTTAGCGCGACGATTGAATTTCTGGTTTCCGATGTTTCCGATCAACTTTACGTGTAAACGATTTGTTTGTTTTTTCGTTAACCCGCGGGCTGCGCGATTTGTATACAGGTTTTAGGTACTAGGTTGTTTAGCTAGCGATTAAGCGTTAGCGGTAGCAGAAGTCGCGACGGGTAGCAGCAGCAGCGCTTTGCGGCGAGCAGGCGCAGCAGCGTTTAGGCAGCCAGCTAGTTTAGTGTAACTGGTAAGTAGAGCAGTTAGCAGGTTTTGCAGCGCAGTTTAGTTAGCTCGCGTTTATGGCGTTTAGTAGTAGCATGTATGCGGTAGCGGCGTAGTGCTAGCGCTGTTTAGCAGCGAGCTAGTAGCGAGTGCGGCTGGTAGGTTAGCAGACCTGCAACAGCAGTTGCCACCTCACGTTTTAAGCCGTCGCTGTCGTTGGCAGCAGCCGGCGGGGTGCATGGAGCGCACTAATTTATTCATCGGGATTTGTTATTTAAGTACCGTCCTAGCTGTCTGCGACGGTCTATAGTGATTGGATCGTCGCGATTCGGTGAGACACCAGGAGTGGGCGTCATACTTGAAGAGGGGACGCGGTGATGACGGGGGCGAGGGAGAGGAGAGGAGAGGAGAGGAGAGGAGAGGATGAGTGTATGAGAGGATGAGGGAGGAGAGGATGAGGATGAGGGAGGCGGGGAGAGGAGAGGAGAGGGAGGATGATGGAGAGGCGAGGAGGGAGAGGTAGAGGAGAGGCGATGGATAGGAGGGAGAGGCCGAGGAGAGGCGAGGAGAGCTGAGCGGTAGGATGAGGCGAGGAGAGCGAGGGGAGGCGAGGAGAGGCCGATCGCGAGTAGGAGGAGGATGAAGTGGAGGAGAGGGCGGAGGAGATTGGCGAGGAGAGGCGAGGAGAGGCGGGAGATGGCGAGGTATGAGGCGAGGCGTGGCGGGCGTATGGCGAGGCGTAGGCCGATGGCGCGAGGAGGCTGAGGATGAGGCGAGTTGAGAGGAGGGTGAGAGGAGAGGAGAAGGAGAGGGAAAGAGAATGGAAAGAGAGGCGGTAGGCGAGGAGAAAGAAAAGAGGGAAGGAGCGAAGAGGAGAGAAACAGCCAGCAGCGCATCAGCATGGTGGGTGGGTGGAGGCCGCGCCTGGTAGTCAGCTGTACCGGCGTTAGTCTTATCACTCTTGCTGCATTGGCATCCTCTGCCGCTTGCCTTGCTCTCTCTCTCTATCACTGTCACTGTCTGTGCAGGCTACAGTCTGCTCGGTTTCATGTGCACGCCTCGCTAAGTATATATATATATATATATATATATATATATACTACTCTCTCTCTCTCTCTCTCTCTCTCTCTCTCTCTCTCTCTCTCTCTCTCTCTCTCTTTCTCTCGCCCTCTCTCTCTCTCTCTCTTCTCTTCTCTTCCCCGTCGGTCGGTCGGTCGGTTCATCGGTCGGTCGTTCTGTCGGGTCGTCGGTACGTTGATCCGTCCGTCGGCCCCTCCGTCCTTCTGCTTATTGCCCGTCCTCTCGTCCATACATCCATCCACCTATCCATTCATCCAGCCTCCTCTCTTTCTCTCTATCTCCATTTCTATATCTCTGTCTCTCCCGGCGTTTCTGTCTAATCAGCGAGGACGCACTGAGTTTTGAACGACAAGCCTCTTTCTGTCGTCGACCGGCATGCTCCGATGCGCGCATGCGTCGATTCCGCTTGCCCGTCACCGTCGCCGCGCTGCGTACACGCGCGCCAGTGTTCTGCGATGAGTTTAATGTACTAATACGCCTCAGAGCGTCAGGAAGCACAGCGCGTCGTAACCTCGCATGCGCAAGATCATCGCGCAGCGAGCCGTTAAATAATTCAAATTCGCACGCGGAAAAGCGCTGATTTTGCTCGAAGTTGCAGAGACATCGTTCCCCTCTAGCGCGTATCTCATAACACGGCCCGTCGGGCTTAGATGGCCATCGAGTATCGTGGCTTCACGCCTCATCGCCCGCCTCCCCCCACCTTCCCGCTTGCGCCGTTGCCAGGGCAGCGCGTTTCGTGCATGTTTACACACAACAGACGGCTAATTTCCAGTCGTTAAGCGGTCGCCAGCGGGCGCCTGGCCATCTTCTGGCTTCTTAGTCGGCTGCAGACCGCTACTTGCCGAATTACGCAGGCCGGCACCCAGCCGCCATGTGGCAAGTGTTATGCTAGCAGCCGCCAGCAGCAACAGCAGCGGCGGCGCCGGCGGTGGCGGCGGTTACAACGGCAGCGGTAAATAACGGTATAGCAGTAGCAGCATCTCCGTCATCACTACCACTGCAAACACAAACAGCAGCAGCAGCAATAATAACAACAACAACAATAACAACAACAACAATCACAGCACGAGGACGAGGACGAGGACGAGGACGAGGACGAGGACGAGGACGAGGACGAGGACGAGGACGAGGACGAAGAGGAGGATAATGGTAGCAACTGCGGCTGCGGCGGCGACGACAGCGACGGCGGCTACGGCAGCGATGGTGGCGACGGGTTTGTGGACGACTAATCCCAGCCGCTAGATAAGCTCGACCTAAACGCATAGCGTAAGGTTGTGGTCAATCACCAAGCTTCGGACCCGACCTCCTGCGGGCTCAGATTATTAACACTGAAGCCAACAACAAACAAACGAAGCTGACGTGCATGCTGATGCCATTCACCCTCACCATGCATCCAGGCGGAAGACGTGGTGTAGCAAGCCCGCTCCCTATCACTTCAGCATTATTAGCGCGTCACATCCTGCCCACGGGCTAGCGGATTCGACTTAGTTTACATTGAGGCGTAAACAAGCCTGTAGTTAGCCGCGAGTAATGTGCGACATTTTGTAGGATAGTAAAGAATGGCAACATAATCGTGAGTAGTATAGGAAACCTGCGCGGAGACATTGGTACGTAGAGGGAAAGAACGAGACAGACAGACAGTGAGAGAGTGAGACAGAACGAGATAGGGCGGGAAAAGAAAGAGAGAGGGAAGGGGTTAAAGAGAAATAGAGAGAACACGAAAGAAAGATGGGGGAGGATAGTGATGGATATAGACACAGAGAGAGAGGGGCAGGCAGAGCAAGTGAGCGAGCGAGAGAAAGAGAGAGAGAGAGGGAGGAGACCTTGGGAAAAAGACATACACATACATATGATGCGGGTATTTCTAAGTTGTCTTGGTGAATGCAAGGAGCTATTCGCGTGGCGGCATCCGCATGAATCAGCCGCCGCCGCCGCTGCCGCCGCCGTTGCAGCAGACTTCCGCAGCCGTAACTGGACCCATGTTCCGCGGCAGGTTTTTCACGCCGCGCGCCGTTTGTTATCAGGAAGTCGGCAGCGGTGCGTTGCGTTTTTTGCTTCATTGCTGACAGGCCACGTGCGGGTCACCCTCCCCGTCTCGTCTGCTGCCGCGGCGGCTGCGGCTGCCGATGCGGCCGGGTGGGGGGGGGGACGAGCTTCATATGCCGCATTTAGCCACTCATAATTTTTGTCGTGAATGTGTCGATACGTGTGATTTATCTAACCGTGTCGCACCGGCGAGCATGCGTGTGGGCGCGCGCGCGCGTGCGTGCGTGACTGTGTGTGTCACCGTAGCGCCACGCACGTCCCAGCGTGTGGGATTCATTTCTCAGTCAATGTGATGACAGATGCAGAGATGCCGTGGCCGCTCAGTGCCGCTCAAGTTTTTTTAGAAAGAAAGAGAGAACGGGAAAGGGTAGGGCAAAAAGAAAAGATGCGATCTTTAAAAAAGATGGCGCTAGCTTTGAAATCCTACATCACAATATCTCCAAACGCCTATTGCATGTAGCCACCAAACCCACGAAGCTTTTCATCCTCTGCTTATCCCGTGACGGCAACACAGCTCAACAAGTGAAGCAGTGACTAATCATGCATAGTGCGTCATTAACGTGGCCGCGCTACCGTCTATCGTCTGTGCACTAGTAGCGGCTCGTCAGCTTCCCGGCAGACGTCTGCCTTTATTCCTGTCGATGCGAGACGCTTCGCTCTTGCTGCGTGCTTGCCAGACGTAGACGCGCCATCAAACGCCGTTCTATTTTTGAGACGCAGCTGTAGACACCGTCGCAGTCTACCAGGAATCTTCGATTTCTGGGACAGAAATTATGTAGGTGAATTGCGCAAGCACGCGGTTCAATAGAAACCGGCAGCAGAATTAGTAGAAAAAGCGGCAGCCGTAGTACAAGCAGCAGCAGCAGCGGCGGCGGCGGCGGCGGCGGCGGCGGCGGCGGCAGCGGCAGCAGCAGCAGCAGCGACGGCAGCAACAGCATCTGCAAACAGCAGCAGCAGCGACGGCAGCAACAGCAGCTGCAAACAACAGCAGCAGCAGCGACGGTGCCGGTGGCGGTAGCGGCAGCAACAGCAGCAGCAACAACATTACCACCGCCACCTGCAACAGAACAGTTTGTGAGAAAGGAAACGCCAGAGACGGGCGGGTGCGCCCACGCGCGCGCGCCCGCCTTTCTCGACGTAGGTCCGACTCCACAAACAGCGCGAATTTATTTTCATTACGACAAATATGTTTAGATCAACATGGGTTCAAAAGTTTTTAAAGTTTTCCTTGTTTGATTTCGTAGCGCGTGCTGAAATGCGCAGTTCGAGCCACGGCAGACTGCAGTCATAACAACGACGGGAAACCGAACGCACGCCGTCATCTGATCCACGTGTGTTGATGTTGATTATTTTTCTCCGGCCGCGAAAATTAACTCGTTAATGTGTTAAACATCAATTATACAAATTATGTAAAGTGCCGCCGTTGGTGGTACGGCGATTGCTTACACGCAGTAGTTTAGATTGCGTAGAAACCTAATGACCCCGCGAGAAAATCTTCGATAGCGACAGACGATGTGTACGTGTGTGCGTACCCGCGCACGAATATGCATGCGATGAAGCCAGATTCATCTTCAGCCGCTGTCCCGCGCACTAGTCGCAGAGGGAGCATTCATGTGAAGTCTTAGTGGCCTTCGGGTGGCAGGAAGAGTGCTACCTAGCTGCAAATCGCCAGTCTTCGTCAGGAAAAGAGCAGTATAAGGTGACGGAAAAAATAGGAGGGTTCGGTGAGATGATGAAACCTAACGAATATTGATCGATCGATACATGCATAAGTTGTTGTAACACAGTGCTTTAAAAAGCAGGCGGCGACTTACAGGAGATATAGCAGCAAACGCGCGTATAATATCTTAGCATTGAAACCACTACATACAATACGTCGTTTCACGATTTTAGTAAACGGTAACTATTCATTTCAGTCAAGAGAAACGCCGCTGGCGGCCACCAATGGCGACCGCTGATATTTCATAAACAAAATTCCTTCCGTTTTGACTTTGGGAAATCGTAAGAAAAGCACCTTGTCTGTATGTGAATCATCTGAGAGAAGGTGACGAGCAGTGAAGCCATCTGTGGCAGGAGATCAGTAAATAGGCGCGTGCATCATCATCAGCTGCTGCGGATGCTGACCAAACCGACTGCTGACCGCTCACGCGCTGAGTGAGTGAGGCGGGGCCGTAATTCTGCCAGGCAGGGCTTCACGGGGCTTCAGTTTATGCAGATATTCATTTTAGACAGAGAATATCTTTAGGCAGGGCCTCTGTTTACACAATGATTCACTTTAAGCAGGGCTTCACTTTGGGCAGAGATTCACTTTAGGCAGGACTTCACTTTAGGCAACAGCCTTCACTTTGGATAGGACTTCCCCTTAGGCAGGGCTTGACTTTAGGCAGTACTTCGCTTTAGGCAGGGCTTCGCTTTAGGCTGGCATCACTTCAGACAAGGTTTCACTCCAGGCAAGGTTACGATTTTGGTAGGGCCTCACCTTAGGCAATGATCCACTACAAGCAGGGTTTCAGTTAACGTATAGCTTCACTTCAGACAGGGAGTATTTCAAGCAGGGCTTCTAGAAGCCCGCCGTGTCTGCAGCGGCTCCTCCCCGCCTCTCCTGTTTCCCATTACAGCTGCCCCGGTCTCTCCCGTTTCGCGAGAGTTGAAAAAATAAAGCGAGACAGCGAGTTAAGAAATAATTGTCAGGTACACAGGTTCCCTGCTTCGCTAAATGAATGAACGGTAGGGAAGCGAGAAGGAACGTTTGCTGCCTTCGCGGGAAACCCCCGTGGAGCTCGCTCGCTCACAACCGGCCGCTCCATTCAGTAAACGACGCCCGCAAGTACTATTTAAAACGGGGCGCTTTGTTTTGCCTCAGCTGTTTTGAGAGCCTGCGAAAAACGTGGGTACACACAAGCGCGCGCATACACACAAGCGCGCGCACGCACGCACGCAAACGGGCCAGTTAGACATTCCCTGGTGCTTTTTTTTCTTGAAAAATCGGTTTTCGATTAATTCGCCGCGCGCGCGAGTGGGCGAGCAGGAAGTTATATGTCTCAGTGCAATAATGGGCAGCAGCT